CTTGTAAGAAGTTCAAAGTCATCGTCACTTGAGCTTTCGCTCGAGTGGTCTTCTTTTATTCTAAGTGTCAAATCCTTCCTATTCTTTGGAAAATTATTCTCATATTTGTCATGTGTTATATAAGTCATTTCATAGATCATTAATGACCCTATGAGTTCTTCAAGAGAAAATTAGTTCAGGTCCTTTGCTTATTAAATAGTAGTTACTTTCAGATCCCAATTTTTAGGAAGAGACGTAAAATTTTATTAACAAGTTTGAGGTTAGAAAAACTTTTACCAAGTGCTTTTAAACCATTAACGATATTCGTAAAATGGGTGTATATGTCTCCAATGGTTTTGCTTGGATCCATTCAAAATTATGTATCAAAAGATTAATTTTAAAATCTTTAACTCTACTTGTGCCTTCATGTGTGATTTTGAGTGTGTGCCAAATATCATGTGTAGTTTCACATATAGAAACACGATTAAATTCATTTTTGTCCAAAACACAAAACAAAGCATTCATTGCTTTAGCATTCAAAGAAAAAGTCTTCTTTTCCAAATCATTCCATTCATTCATAGGTTTAGAAGACTTTTGAAAACCATTTTCAATAGTATTCCATAAATTAAAATCCATAGAAAGCAAGAAAACTCTCATTCATGTTTTCCAGTACATATAGTTCATCCCATTGAACAAAGGAGGACGAATGATAGAGTAACTTTCTTGAATACCGAAAAAAATCATTTAGTTTCTCTTGGGTGTTAAACCAATTGAAAAAAACTTGGCTTTGATACCAAATGTTAGGACTGTTTCAGCACTAAATTGAATTAGTGCTTTTGGAAAACTTTCGTCGATTCAAAAAAAATCTCGTTCAATGAAAAACCATATAGGAAAGATGTTTAACTTAAAAATTTTCGTAAGCGTAGTAAGTAAATCGGTAGTGAGTAAGTAAATCAGTTTGTAATGAAATGAAACAGTAATTGTAAATCGATTTATAGTGGTTTGATCATCGTGACCTACATCCACTCGTAATTCCTCTTCACTTGAGGCCACCGGCTTCCACTACCAATTTTCTTTCCAATAGACAAAGATCAACTACCCTTACAACTCTTTCTCCTTTTCACAGGCTTAGGAGAGAACTTTACACTCCTTTTTTACAAGGTATCCCTCACACACCTCCCTTAGGACAACCTCTAAACTCAAGGAGGAGGGACTCAACTTTTTCATAAAGTTTTAATACTCTAAACCCTAAGTTTTTATTCTCTTTTCTTCTTATGTTAAGCAAAAAATATTAGGATATTTATAGACCCCAAATGGCTTTAAAAATGAAGCCAAAAAGTATCTCCTCTTGGGTTTCCGGGATACTAGGATACCATTGCAATTACTAGTAGGTACCATCGTTTGCCAGACTGACAACTAGCGGTACCATCGTTTGTCAGTCTAACACTGGGTAGTACCACCGCCTAATCTAACATTGACACTGGGTGGTACCACTGTCTTATAGTCTGAAAAAATATGTTTTTGACTTTTTCAACTCATAGGCGATTTCACCACCAGTTTGGGGCACCGTCTGACCCAAATTATGAGTCACTAAATGAGTCTTCCAATGAGTTCAAATTAGTCCCAATTTAGGTTCAATTGACCCATAATTGAGTTAACATAATTACATCAAAAACTAACTCATTTAACCCTCTAAACTACTTCGATCTAGACAAATGATTATAAAGCATGAATCCTTTGTCTAGCATGTCATTGGTTCATCCAGCTTTTATCTATCCCTTCGGTGCATCATCCTCTCCTTTAGCATATTGTCCAATTGGTATGTTGACCTCTCATAACATTCGATCTTCTTGGCGTAATATCCAATCCTTCTGGTCCGATGCCCAAACTCATAGCACGAAATCCTTCTGCCGACACGTCGACCAGTCCTTCAGCCCGACGTCCAATCTTCTGATATGTTTTACTCCGGTCTAACTTCTAATCCTTCCTGCTTCAATCAATTTACCTTTGCATAAAGATAATCCTGCGTTACTCAAATGATGATTAGATCATAACTTTATCAATTGATTTCGTCATCAAAAATCTAATATTCAACAATTACTTCCTGAGTAAGCTATCTTTTTAATATCTTCTATATTGTGTGGTGCACTAAATTCAACAAGGGAGTTGAGTTCTAAGTTGTGCTAACACTTATTGTTGATCGAGGTGCATTAGGGAGTATGTCATTGTGCACTTGAGTGGGTGTGACCATGATATGAGTTTTGGAAGTAAAGTAGTGTGTTTAGAGTGACGCTGCCTTTGTCCTATGAGTGCTCAGTCTACCTCAGACCTAATTTTTGATAGTATAAGGTTCGAATGCAAATAATTTTTGATAGTATAAGGTTCGAATGCAAATAAATATGACTCTTTTACAAGCAACAGAACAAACAAGTGGTAGAGTTCTAGTAGCAAGTGAGTTTATGTTCAGATATGTTATTGTGCATTTTCTTTAATCAATTATTGAATATATGCATTAAATTCTTGAACTTAAAGAAAAGAAGCTCGTAAAGAAATAGCGTAGATTATATTTTGTATAATGTTATTCTATTCTATAAAGAGTCAGGAGAGCACTAAACAACGCAAATAAGCAGTCAATAGCTAGGTTCATTTATTTAATCATATGCAACAAGCAAACAAACAATTTTGTTACTTAAATTACATAATAGGTACATGTCATACGTACAAGCAAGGGCTTCTAGAACTCCACAAGATGACAACACTCGATCAAACTCCACTCTTTCGACCACAACTAACTCAGTTAAGACTTAAAAGAAGGCTTCTCGAACATCGTGTAATACCTCTTAAGTATTCTTCATAGAGAAAGACTCATTGAAACTCAGCAACTAGTCTTCAAATGGATTTTAGTCTAATAACATATACTTGAGAGTAAGGAAATGTGTAACATTCAATTCTATTCTTTAGTTTGGTGTGCGAGGTGCATTAGTCTTGCATTTCTTCTCTTCTGTTTGACTCTCTTTAATCGCTTCTTCTGTCACAGACAATACTGATTGACTTAATGCTTACAACTGACTTTCTACTTGTACTGTTTTGTTTTCTTTAATTATTTATATCGGCACAAGCTGCATCTTGTTTACTAAATAATTTATATTAGTTGAATGCTAGATAAAATTCTTAAGTAATAGGAGTTTCGGGGTGCTAACATGAGTTGAGTTCAAAAAGCCATTGTGCGAAAGATTAGTAGTGTTCCAGTTTCGGGGTGCCTCAATACAATTCAACAAATGAATAAAGGCAACAAGCAATGTTGTGAGCTTACGTGTGTTTATTGGTGCAAGACTAAGGGCGTTTGTGAGCTTTGAAGCAATGTTGTGTTGTAATGTTGTTCTATTATAGGTGCAGCACTATCTTCTATTCTTTTGTGCTAAATTATTTTCTGAAGCACTAAGGACTTCATTCAGAGTTGTAGAAGCAACAAGCAAACAAGTGGAGAAGTAATAGTGCAAGAGTAAGCAAGGAAATAAGCAAACAAACAAGTAATAAGTGAGTTGAGAGAACAAGCCATTATGCTAACACTTTTGGAGTTTCACAGTGAGTTTGAGTGTTTTTACTAACTTGTACGATATTAGGTGCATTTACTCAATTCTTTAATGAATGGTTTACTGAGTACTCACCCAACAAACTATGGCTGAAAAGAAAAGAACAAGCAAACAAGCAATTGCGCACTCCTCCAACCTGCGAGCTACAATGAGGCCATTCACTTACCACAACAAAAGAATCTCTTTCTACGATAACACAAGCAAGCACCGCTAACGCTTAATGGAGCAGGGTGCGAAAGAAAAACCACTCGCTAATGCACAACGTTCTATTGCTTGTTGATTTTTGATGTTTTCAATCTGAAGTTTGTTCAGAGGAAAAGATGTGTTGTTTTTGGCTCAAACAAAAAGACAGCAACCAAATCTCACAGCTACTTAAATCACTAGAAGTAAGCTATACTATTTATTTCATGTAAAGGACAATCATCAACCCAAACTAAACCAGCCATGAACCAATCTCTAAACCAGATCAAACCCATCTAAACCGATGGTCTATAGCCTATGGTTTGAGCGGGAATAAAAATGAGACCACTACAAGCGTAATATAGTAGAGTGAGATAAAAATGAGGCTCTCTACGGGTTTTCACACCGGTTCGTATGAACTTTTTTTTTTCTAAATCGTTTTGAGTAAAGGTAATTTGAACCAAAATCGATTAATCGATTAACTGATTAATCAAATTATAACTTTAAGTAATTTAAAATATATATCATTTTTAAATGAATCGTTTCGGTTCAATTGAATTGAACTGGAATTATGATCCAATTGATTCGACACAATAAGATTTATAAAATTGAGCCTAACGTCGTATGTAAATGAGTCTTTGGGCAGATTTAAGGGCTTAGGATACTAAACTCAATTGGACTGATATTTTTAAATTAAAATCAATTCGATTTAGTTTGAATTGGTTAAAGAACTAAAGAAAAGACTCTCGACCATTTGTCAACTAATTCGGACTGAACTAGTTTTGGACCAGTTAGATTCTAATTCGACTTAGGTTTTTTTTTTCCAATTCAATTTGAACACTCTTATTTGTGTAAATAAGTGAATAAAAGAAAAGGGTTACTCTGCCGAAAATACTGATCTCAACTTATTTGTGTAAATTGTTGCCTTATTGCCCAACACCGAGAAAGAAGCCTTCTTCAGCACGTTACGTTGCCTTATTGCCGGAGCGATGCGAGTGTTAAATCTTGGTTAAGGGCTGCAAGCACCAAGTCAAATGCAAGCTCACTAATACTTGCTAACTCTCCTAACACTGAAAACCTACTAACGCGTAACGTCTTGCTTCGGTCTTTATTATTATTATTATTATTTTGTTTTAATTTTCTTCCTTTATTTATCTGAATCGTGTACCATATAGTGTAATAAACATGACGACGTGGCCCACTAGTGATTACGGGCCGGCCCACATGTCACCCATAGGGTATCATCGCATGAACCCTGGAAACCCTGAATTCCGTCCGACGCCTCTCTTGCGATTCCCATGGCGTCTACCTGCTTCCGTTCCCTAACACGCGCCTCCAGATCCTTCGTTACCAAACCCAGAGTCACCACGCGGTCTCCCTCCTCCTCCTTCGTGGTCTCCGACGCTGGTGCCACCGCGCTTCCGTCATCCGCCTCGGCGCGTCCTCCTACGGCTCGCCGCTTCCCATCGTTCTCCAGGTCTGCCCACTTGCAACTTAGATTTATATGATATCGGATCTGCTTCCTGTGAAAGTTTTTTTGTTTCCTCCTCCTTTTGTGGCGCTCAAATCGGCCCTTTGGTTTGGTTTTGAAGGTCTCTTGCGGAATTGCGATGTTGCAGCGGATCTCTGTTCCCGCTCCACAGTGCCGTGGCGGCAGCGAGGTTGACTTCTTGCTTGAGCTCGACATCTCGGAGCTGTCGTTCTCTTTCACAGGGTACCGTCTGCTGCACGTACCCCGGGGTTTAAAAGTTCTCCTTTTCCCGTCTTAGCTTGACGTTCTTTTGGTAGCTGAGAGCAGGGAGATCGATGCATCTTGTTGGGAAATCTCTGAAGCTTATTTAAAGAAGTTATTGTTTGATTCCTGCAATGATTGGATATGTTTGGCATAAATCTGTCTGTTTTTGAGGATAAGATTAATGCTCTCTATCACACTTCTTCTGATTCCAAACCGAGTGTTCAAAATTGCAGTCTTGCTCCTTTTTCCATTGTTTTCTTATAAAAGATTTAAGTAATTTGTTTGATCTACTTAATGGACTGATTCTTCTCTATCGATGATAACTGGTGTTTGCATGTTAGACTCAGCGTTAGTTGATTTTCAATTTTAATTCATGGAAATGCGTAGAAAATTTTGGCGAGTTATCTGAGATAGTTTGGAAGAACGACCTATAGTACTGAGGGGAAAAATCTGTGACCCATGTTAATTATGCTTATGTAGATATATAGATGCTCTCGCTCCAAGTCTGATACGAGGAGATCTGTACATTTATTTTTCCTGGCATAATCACATTTTGATGTCAAGTTTGGCTAGGAGTGTGCTTTAATACAGTATGCAGTCCTGCCAAGTAGATCTTGGACAAAATCTAAGTCCTTTCAGCTTATTATCTTTTGAAATTTGTTCGAGTTCTTTCTTGGAACTGCTAGTTTATTAATTTCTGATTATTTCTAGTGCTCAATTATGTGTTCTACCGTAGAAATTAAATTGGTGTTAAAGATATGCCAGGAGTTTTACAATTCTTAAAGTCAGATGCCTCTATATCCTTACTGGTTTTCTCACTATAAGACTCGCCATTTGAGAAGTAGCTCAGCTAGGAGGAACTGGTCAAGTGCTAAATAAAGCCCCCACCTCTTCTTGAGGAGTCATAGTCCGAATAATGGCTAAATATTTATATACATAAAGGTCATTGAGCTTGGAAATCGAGGTTGAACAACTTGTTCTGACTAAAAATAACAATATTTCTTGGCTGGCTGGTTCCATTCCTCTTCTTATTTCTTTTTTCCATCCATTTTTCTCTAGAACAGGCCACCTTGATGACATAAATAGATATATTACCAGATGAAAAATGTGGCAATGTTTCAGGAGCAGTCACCACTTGAGTAAGAACATAATTTCGGCTTTTCAGAAGCTCTATGATATATAATTAATAATAAATCGATATCTTTCACATGTTAGTCTAGTGGTATCTGACCAACAAATTTTTTAGACGAAACACTACTTCATTTCATTTTTCTTGGTCTTCAATAAAGGTAAGAGCTGCATCACTTGCACGTAATGCCTCTTATCATTTGAAGTATTTTAAAAGTGCTTGGTTCCTGCAGGCACATGACGAGGCAGTGCTTGAAAGGAACAAACTTGGGATTTGCTGGGTCTGCAGATTAAGCTTTATACAACATCCAGTACGGAAATATTATTAACGCACAACAAAGCACAAACTACTATTTTCTTATCTAATTTGGTGATGAAAGATTGCTTTTGTACCAGTTCCTTGTGATTCAACATTGTCATGTTAAGATGATAAAGTTTAGATGGTTCGATTTAGATTTATATAGAAATGCATTGGTATCATGTAGAAAATGCTGTATAGATGATATATATGATACGTCATCACTAATGTTTAGTGAATCATCTTGGCTACATTATGTTTGGCAAATCATCTTGACATTCATGGTTGTACCTTTCCGATATCTGGTGAGATAAGTTGGTTGTCATAAACTTGTATATATAGTAACATTGAGTTTTGCTGTTTAAGATTGTTTCATTCACCGATTTGATCAATTTTCATGGGTTATTTGTTGTGCAAAATTGTGCTGGTTAGTCATAGTGATCGTTGTAGAATTCCCGACTAATTTAGTCGAGAAATATACAGATGCATTGTAAGGATTATAGTCTGTACAGCCATCAAATTGAGTCACTTCGACCACTAATTCTCCTCTCCAATCGAGTCGTTGTAGCTCAATGTTCTTTTCAGAAGATTCTCCTTCTCTGGCATGGACAACCTTTTTCTCCAAGCCATCCTGGTTGCTAGCCCATTGATCATTGTTTTAAGTAGTAAAGCTTCAGTTATCATCTTTGATCATTGATCATTGTTTAATATTAATGGAGGTACCCATTGCCTAACGATTTACTAAAGCCACTTTTGGTGTTGAAATTAAGAGTGAGGATATTAGGAAAATTCCAACGACAAGCTGGATTTAGGAGATGGGAATCAATGAGTCTTGTATTTAGTCATAAGGAAGGAAATTGTCATTATCAAAGAGGGAAGAAATTCTCTCCACACATGTGGCGGCGGCCTTCTCAACACTAATGAGGTCTTTCATGTCACATATTTTTAGATTTAGAGATGGTATCCTAATTTATAGTTTTTTTTTTTTGTCAAGTTTAGTGTTTCAAAAAAAAATCCTAATAAATCTAAACATGTGGTTAAGGATTTTATATAAATCCAACAATCAAAAAGCATGTGTGTTGGAATAGAGTTAATGATAAATTTTATAAGGTATATCGTCGATAATTTTGTTAACATTGGATATTATCTATGTTCTTTTCTATATGTAAAGAATTACCAAGCATTTGTTTAATGAAAGGTGTGCAGTTTTTAGAGAAGAAAATATTAAATTTTGTGAGATTCACTTTAACTGAGGATTTGGACAATACTGACACAAGATTTAGTGCTTGTCCTAAAAGCAAGCTCATAAAGTGGGAGATAGATATGCCTTAAATTTTGAAAGGGATAAGTTTTCCATGAGGCAATAAGACTAGAGAGCACATGTTGAATAATAATGAATAGGCACATGATCATCTACCCATAGATCCATCCTACGAATCTGGTTGGGAAGTTTAGTTTTTGACTGAGTCAAAATGTTTTCTAGATCAATTTTTCAAAGAACCAAAGGAGGGGCTTTGCCTTTTGAATTGATCATGAAGTAAGCAAGTTTGTGATGCATGTTTCTTCCTGCTATATAAGCAGTTCATTCTAATAAGAAGGTATAACTTGTCCTTGACTCTATTGACTAATACTTTGGATTAGATTTTGTAAATGACATTACAAAATGTAATAGGTATGTGATATTTGATTAAAGAAGCATTAACTTTTTTGAGGATGAACACAAAATGAGTTTTACCCCCAACTGGGCACAATGTAACCATCATTTTAAAAGTTTGAAAATGCCTTAAGAATCAGTTCTTTAAGTTGATTCCAAAACCTACAGTACAATTTGACCCAAAACCTTAAATGACAAGAATGGCAATCAAGGGGAGAGAGGTCTAGTGTTGTTCCAAAAGTTAGTATACTAAGAAGCAAAAAATGAAAATATATGAGTGTTATCAGTGATTTCAGTTAAATAATCATATGTTTTAAAGTTTTTGTTAGAACATAAATTAATAATATTTAAATAAATATAAATGTTTTGAAAGAAAAGAAAATTCTGGAATTGCATAGCATGAAAGGATGATAGATAGGATTTCTTTCGGTTCAAGCTATGGAATGGAAGAAAAAATAAATAGAAAGGAAATGTGAAAAAGATCTTTGAGAAGAAGAAAATGAAGCTTTATAGGGAAAATTCTCAAGTAAGTGAATGTGTTAAGTCTTTAATGACCAGTTGGTTAAATTTAAGTGTAAATAATGTCTATATAAAGGAAATGGAGTGAATTCCTTTGACTTATATTTTTTACTTTGACTTATATTTTTACTATTACATAATATAAATATCCTATGATAAAGTTACACATTTGTGACCATGCGAATGCATCTTGATTTATTCTTGAGAGTTTTAGAGATTACTCAAATTCCTAGTCGTAGTAATTTATGGATACTCTCATATAGGAGAGCCTCTACTAGGGTTGCACGTAGGATTACATCTCACCAAAAAATATCACTTCGGGTCTCTATCATAGCAATGCTCGTCCTATCCTTCAATCTAAGAGCACTAATCATCATAAGGATGTGTTTAGAGTTATTCATTATAATATATATTATGCTCTATGAAAGTATTCCTTGACCAACCAATCAACCTATTATTGTCATATTAAACTTTTAAGAGATAATTTATCTTAGAGATTGAGTTCATACTATTGGAATGTGTATCATAAGCAAAGACTCTATCTCCATCGATGATTCTCGAACCTTTTATTTACTTTAAGCCTTTAGTATAACAATTAACTAGATTCTGTTTAAATTTAATATAATGCAATGCAATAATTGAGTGAACATTGTGTATATAGACTTTTGTTTAACTTTAATATGTCTGCTAATTTTTGAATTTATAAGTTTTTTATAAATTCTATTACAACTCTTGAATCACACGAATTAAAATAGATGGTAAATGCAATGAAATCAAAGGTAGATTTGATAGAAGATTTTTTAAGCTATTCAGCTTTTCTAATGCAAACAATTCAGCTTCTATGGCAATTCTAGTAAAAATGAATGAATACCCAACAGATCTAAGTCCATAATGATGTTACTTTATGATATTTAAATACCTTTTATAAAAAAGCATTCTAACTAACTTTTTTATTCAAGGATTGCTAGTATATTTATTTAATTGGAGCTGAGGTAGAATAAGAATGCAATCAACGTAAAAGACAAAAAGACAAAGAAGAACAAATTTGTCACCAACTCTTTTGCAATAAAAGCAATTGTCAAATTAATTAGCTAGGAAACTAAAGGAAAAGATAACACTATCAAATTCTTTCCTTTGTTATTGTTTAGGTGCTTAAATTTGATCAGACTATTTACCTATTTTCTTCGTTTGACATGACACAACAAAGCTTTTAGGTTGTGTCATATTGATCTCTCTTCAATATCATCATGCAAAAAGACACAACAGTTTATGGATTGAAACAAAAATAAGTAAAACCCGAATAGTAGTAGTGATATAAGCCACAAGTGCATATGTATCAAAATTATTGAAACCAGCTTTTTGCTCAAAGCTTTCAATCGTAAGTCATTTCTTATATTTCTATTGTTCCATTAGTTCTCATCTTCTTTTTTAAGATTTTCTTCCATCCTAAAGGTTTATTCATAAGAGGTAAATAAATGAGAATCTATGTATTATTATTATTATTATTATTATTATTATTATTATTATTATTATTATTATTATTATTATTATTATTATTATTTAAAATGGATTCAATCTCATTGTTAATGGCTTGTTTCTGGAAAGGAGGATAGAAGATTTCATAGTATTTTGAAATGAACTTAGGTGAATCTTGTATCAAATAAGTGATAAAATTATTACCAAAATTTCTTTCAATCCTAATTATTTTACATCTTTTGGATTCAAGTAAGGGGGAATAATTTACAGAACTACTGGAAGGAAACGAACTAGAGAAAGTAGAATATTAAGTAAAATTCTAGATTCAAAAGGAAAAATACTTTTAAAGAAAGTAGCATCTCTGGATTCGATCATGGTATCATTTGAAATTTCATGAATTTTACAAGTGTTACTATCCAAAGAGTATCTAACAAAAATAGTATCTATAATTTTTTGACATATTTTGTTTCTTTTAGGTTCAGGAATATTAACTTTAGCTAAACACTCCAGCATTTGGAAGTAATTTAACCTTCGATTTATATCCTTTCCAGTTTTCATATAGTCTCATCTTTTATCTTTCGCAGGTAAGGATATACAAACAAAAAAGCAAACTTGTATTTATTACATTTATCATACCTAAAAGCTTTCAATTTTTTTTCTTTCAGCTATTCTTTTACATTGAGGTGAGTAGGTGTAGTTACTACTTTATGAATTGTCCCATGTTATTCATAAAAAATTTTAATTCCCTTATCTTGTTGATTTTCTACTTCTATATTACAAATCTTAAATTTACAAATTATTATTATTATT